AAAAAAAAAAAAAAAAAAAAAAAAAACTCCAAACTATAGTTATGCTCGCTAGTAGAATTTTTCTGAGGCTAGAGCTCTCCAGGCCAAGGTCCATTTTTACTTACCCTTGAGGTTTGATTGACTTTCTGTTTTAAGAACCCAAGAGAGACGTGGGAAGCAAAACAGACTACCGGCTATGGCCAGGCTGCCGGAGATCTGACCACAGCCAAGGGTTCACTTGTGGGCCCTTGTTCATGTGCCCAGAGATTAGACCCACAGGACCATCGAGACAGCTGTCTTTGTATCTGGACTGGCCCCGTATATAGAAGAAGGGGCTTTACCGAAGGATGGGGTGAGTGCTTCTTCCTTCAGACACAGGCTGATAGGGAAGTGAGTTAGTTCACTGCTAGATCCTTCACCCACGCCCCTGTAGGAGTAGGACAAAAGAAGAAGGTAGCGCTCACGGAGATTTTTCAACCTCTCACCAGTAACACAGACCTCTGTTCTCATCCGGCCCTGGCAAGTCCCACGGCCAAAAAGTGCCCAGGTGTAGGCAGGAGTAGGCGTTAGACTAGAGAATGGAGCCGCGGCTGAGAAAAGACCCAATGTACACACATAACAAAACCAAAAAAGCCATTTTATTGAAAATTAAATTCAAACTTCAAATTAATATTACAATCATGAGAAAAAAAAATGCCAAATAATTCCATTTACAGTTGCAACATACAATACAAATAGTCCCTTTGAAGTTGAAAGTAAACTCATCCACAATCATGGCCTGTGGGACAAACCAGAATTTGTACAATATGTGCAGGGAAAGCAGATCTTGGGCAACAGCAATTGGAAAAAAATAAAAATGAGAAGCTTGTATTTACACAAAATGCTACAAACATTTTTGTTCCACAGAAATCTAAGAATGGTAAAGCATATCCAAAAAGAAAAAATGGAATTTTATTCAGAATACCTAAGAAATTACTGTAACTTATGGTTTTGGCTGATATATTTCAAAGTACTGCATAAAAAGCAAACAGTTATTTGTAAACATGAAGTAAACAAACATCTAAAAAATTCTCACACAGAAAATATTTTTTAAATGCATTCCTTTTTTAAGAACAACAAATTCAAGGTTTGGAAGAGTCGCTTTTATTTTATTGGTTATTGTTCTTTTGAATATCCTAGAAATAACTCCTGTTCTTGCTCATGCTCTGTGTTTCCATGCATTAACCTAGACTCTGAGTCCGTTCCTTTCCTGGGAATGGAGGGAACTCTAAGCCAGCACACACATCTCGTCCCCTCTGAGTTTGCAACGGATGGTCCCTGACGGTGTGGATTTCTCAGCTTCCTTTGAAAAGGCCCCGGTGGGGCGAGACTGTCTACAGAGTAACCCATAGCTCATCTGTTGCGTCTCTCTCGGTTCCAGGCTGGAGGTCACTTCCCTCATCCAAAACCAACGCTGTGGTACTTGTTCGGGGGCCCTGGCAGAGGTTACAATTTGTGAGACAACTCAAACAGATCAGCGTGTCTGTGTGGGCCACGCTGTGAACTCCAGCAACGTTGGCGCTACCAAGAACCATGCTCCTTTAACCTGAAGGAAATACAGAGCGTTGGCTACTACATGGCTTCACGGTAGGAGCAGTAGTAAGGCTTTGCTTTGGTCTTCGAATCACAGATCATACACATGACCCAGTGCAAATTAAGGGTTCAGTAAAAAAAAA